GAACAGAATCACAGATGCGCTCGACTACAACCAACCAAGAGAACAAGCTGGTTTCAGAGCTGGCTTCTCAACAACAGACCACCTACATGCAATCAATCAACTGATTGAAAAGGCTTGTGAATACCAACTCCAACTGTGCCTAGGATTTGTCGACTACCAGAAGGCATTCGACTCTGTCGAACATTCTGCCATGTTCGAGGCCTTGAGAAAGGTGAATGTTGATGAAGGATATGTCCGAATTCTAGAAGACATTTATACTGATGCAACTGCCCGTATTTATATTGACAACGATGTATCCAGGACTGTCAACATCCAGAGAGGCGTAAGGCAGGGCGACACCCTTTCTCCAAAGATATTTACTACAACTATAGAGGAAGTGTTTAGAAAGACAGACTTGGATAATGGTGTTAATATTGACGGAGAACCTCTCACAGACCTGCGATTCGCTGATGATGTGGCAATGATTTCAACAACTATTAAAGGTATGGATGAGCAGCTATCCAGCTTAAACAAAGAAAGCAAGCTAATTGGCTTAACCATGCATAAAGACAAAACAAAGTACATGACAAACTTTGAGACCCAGGAAGACATTGAAATAGAGGGACGGAAACTAGAGAAGGTGAACAACTATAAGTACCTTGGACAGACACTGAAAATGGAGGACACCACGAGAGAAGAGGTGATTAGTTTAGTCGGAAAAGGGGGGTATCGTGCACCCTCGGAAATCAATTTCTAATCAACGTGTCTAGGTCAGAAAAAATGCGTAGAAAACGATTTGCTATGTTAAAAAATTCAAAAAATGTCCCACGTATTGTTTTTATGCAAATTAGTGCCGCCATTACCGAAAAATCTATTTTTAATTATATCTCAGCCAATATTGCAGATAACTGAACGAACTAGGTGTCTAAACCCATGTTTTCAAGGTCAGAGATCACAATAAAACTATTTTGGAAGTCACCACATGTGTCTGTGGCAAAGGAATATGCAAATTAGTGCCGCTAATACCGGAACATCATGTTTTTGGCATATCTCGGCCAATATAGAACATAACTACACCAGTAAGGTGTCTAAACCCATGTTTTGATGGTCAAGTATCATAAGAAGACCATTCACGAAGTAACTATGTGTGTCTTTGGCATGAAAATATGTAAAATATTAAGTGTCGGTTTATCAGATATTTGATTTTTAGCCAATATCTCGGCCAATATTGCACATAACTACACCAATAAGGTGTCTAAACCCATGTTTTGAGGGTCAGGTATCATTAGAAGACCATTTACGAAGTAACTATGTGTGTCTTTGGCATGAAAATATGTAAATTCTAATTTGCCGGTTTATCAAAAAATTGATTTTTAGCCAATATTATATTCAATTTCAGCCAATAGTACAGTTTATTTTAAATATGATGGCTTAAAATAAACTTTGATCATTATTGCTTATCAAAAACCCTTCTGTCAACATTAGCTGCAATATTGGCCGAGATATTGGCTAAAAATCAAATTTACGATAAATCGACACTTTTGAATTTACATATTTACCTGCCAAGGACACGCATAGTTACTTCGTGAATGGTCTTCTAATGATACCTGACCCTCAAAACATGGGTTTAGACACCTTATTTGTGTAGTTATGTGAAATATTGGCCGAGATATTGGCTAAAAATCAAATATCGGATAAACCGACACTTTATAATTTACATATTTTCATGCCAAAGACACACATTGTTACTTCGTGAATGGTCTTCTAATTATACTTGACCCTCAAAACATGGGTTTAGACACCTTACTGGTGTAGTTATGTGCTATATTGGCCGAGATATGCCAAAAACATGACTTTCCGGTATTTGCGGCACTAATTTGCATATTCCTATGCCACAGACACATGTGGTCACTTCCAGAATAGTTTTATTGTGATCTCTGACCTTGAAAACATGGGTTTAGACACCTAGTTCGTTCAGTTATCAGCAATATTGGCTGAGATATAATTAAAAATAGATTTTTCGGTAATGGCGGCACTAATTTGCATAAAAACAATACGTGGGACATTTTTTGAATTTTTTAACATAGCAAATCGTTTTCTACGCATTTTTTCTGACCTAGACACGTTGATTAGAAATTGATTTCCGAGGGTGCACGATACCCCCCTTTTCCGACTGAACTAGATGCTGAGAATCAAAGCAGGGTGGATGAAATTTGGTCAACACAAAGACATGCTAACAGACAACAAATTACCAATATCACTAAGGAAGAGACTATTCAATCAGTGTGTGCTATCCACTATGACTTATGGATCAGAAACTTGGTCATTAACTACAGAACAGAACAGAAACTCACAACAGCACAGAGAGCTATGGAAAGACAGATGCTTCACTTATCCCTACGAGATAGAGTAAAACATGAAGTAATTCGGCAGAAAACTGGGGTGAAAGATGTCATAGAGAAAGTCAGCGAAGCAAAATGGAGATGGGCAGGGCATGTAGCAAGAATTCAGGATAATAGATGGACATGCAGATTAACAGATTGGCAACCACGAATGGGAAAGCGAAGGAGAGGAAGACCAAAGAAAAGATGGAGAGATGATATAACTACATATATGGGAACAGCGACTTGGACTAGGACAGCCAGAAACAGAAGTGATTGGAAACGTCATGAGGAGGGCTTCATTCGACAGTGGATGGACGTAGCCTGATAGATAGATAGATAGACATGTTAAACCGGCTTGGGCTCTGGACGCTGAACGACGGTTCAGATTTCATTGGAGTCCAAATTTCATGTGACACTGGAAAAGCAAGCCAGACAGTGGTTTAGCAACCGTTTAAAAACCACCCATGTGACGGGCTCTCGACCAATAGGAACTGGTAAAATGTCTTAGGTACTAATGAATATCAGTTTAAGCTAGATATGTGTGTTTCACGTAGACAAACAAAGCTGTTTCGGCTGTTTTAAAATGAATTGTTGTTACAACCAAATCGGTGGCAAAGTTCCATGGATTTAGGCTTTAGAAAACCGTGTTGTACGATTTTTGAAAAATCACATTTTGATGTCATTTTACATGGATGTCAACATTTTATTCAAACTCTCACGCACAAGTGCATCATCAAAATAGAAAAAGGAAAATGAATGTTTATTTTAACATGTTTATGAATTAAGAAGGTCAATTGATGGCACCATGGCACCAACCCAGTTTTCACACAAAACATACTACATGTATATGTACTATGTACATAGTCCCTTCATCTAAAGTTTGAACCCAATTGGACACGTGGCTATTGGACTTTGAAAATTGTATCTAATAATAAAATTATGAAATTATGATATTATGCTTTGCCGAAAATCTACAAGTGATGGTTGATGCATGTATGCCAAGCTTAAAAACAAAATCATCAGAATTTTCCAATGAACTTCACCAGTTCTGGTAAACCAATATTGTTCACTACCAAATCCAACACTGGATATTTTTCAATTTTTTTAAAATAAATATCATAATCAGAGAATTAATGTTGTGGATGATGACACCGGTACCGACGCACAATGTCTAAACATCACTGGGAAGTTATCCCGCGGAGAGGGGACTATTGGTTGATGGTAAGCGGCACGTCTCGGTCCATGACCGGATATATAATTTGCTTCCTTTGAAACAGGCGGTCTCTGACAAGTGCAGTCAAGCCCGTGGGTAGGTGGACACGTCGCTATCAAAAATATGAATCAAATCCAGTCGTGGGTATTTCGACAGCGCTACCCCGAGTTCCAAAATTCTGTCTACAGGTGCACCCAGTGTTGTAGTCGAGTACTTTTTTCTGAGTACCGAGTAAGCTGCCGAGTACTTAGGTTACCGAGTACGAGTACGGTACGAGTATTTGTACTTTCGAGTGCAAAGAACAGGTCTCGAGTACGAGTACTTGTAAACCTGTATATGAGTACGAGTACTTCCGAGTACGAGTACGAGTACTTCCGAGTACGAGTACGAGTACTTCCGAGTACGAGTACGAGTACCTCCGAGTACGAGTACCTCTATTTCCGAATATACGGCCATACGGCAAACTGGTTCATTGTGCGTAATTGGCCCAGGCCCAGTCAGACCGATATACAGACCCACTCACGGCTAGTTGTTAAATGTGTTTGTCCAGACGTGCACTGTGGAAAATCAGGAAACCGCGATTTCTCTGCAAGTCAATCCACCATTTCATACTGGAAGTATCGATAAAATAAAGCCGTGGTAAGTCAAGTTATACCATTCCCCCCCCCCCCCCCCGAGTAGCCTGCTGCTATTCGAGTACGAGTACAATTTCGACATGTCGAGTACAATTTCGACATGTCGAGTACGAGTACCGTCATTTCGAGTACGAGTACTTTGGCATTCGAGTACGAGTACTCTAAAAAAAAAAAAAAGTACTCGAGTAGTGCTCAAGTACGAGTGCGAGATTTTTAAGATCATGTTTCCACATCAAGTCATGTTTCTAAATCAAGAAGAATTTAGATGTTTCAATATGCCAACAACAACAAAATAGGACGGCTTGATGTTGCTATCTTAACAAAATCTTCTTCAGAGGCAAATGACAGAGGTACAAGAAACAAACATATACATGTAGGGGACACACATGCATGCAGGGTTGGAAGGACAAACACATCAGATGGATTAAATAGGGGACTATAATGTTTGATAAGTCACAACAGACTTTAATTGCATAATCTTCAGTGGTACTCATTTTATCTTCTCACAATTGTTATTTCATTCATGCCCGACAGACGGACTGAGCATTAACCAATAAGTCAGAATCATTCATTGTGTCGTAACGAACTTATAAAATATATTACCCCAACTTCATGCGTTTCAAATAAAATGTTGGGTTGATATCACTTTCAAGTCAAATTGGCAATTAAAATCTTGAATGAGACGCACATATACGTTCTCCCTCAGTGCCTCGAGTCAACCATCCATGTGATTGAAATGCAATTGAAGTGATATTTCAACTTCGGGATATGTTTTAATGGATCTCCTACCTCGACTCGCGTGTAGGTGTTGCTCATCATAGCGATGAGAGCATTGAGCATGACCACCACAGCGAACATCATGTACAGGGCGAAGAGTATGGTCCCCACGGCCTCGGTGAAGCCGTGCTTGGCGTGGTTGACCTTGATAATGTCCAGACTCTCCAGGCCGAAGAGAGACCAGAAGAGGGTCAGCATGGACTGACCAACGCTGAAAACAGAACAAAAATACAACACATTATCACTGTATACTTAATGTTTTCAGAGAGGTTGAACAAAAGTTCGAATCTTGCTTTGGTGGGACTCGAACCCACGACCTTCTGATTACTAGTTTCGAAGAGGGACCAGAAGAGGGTCAGCATAGACTGACCAACGCTGTGAACAGCAGGGGGAACCAACAATTCAATTTTAATATTGAGTTTCGCTGTTCATAATCTGTTATAATCCTTCCTGTTGCAAAAGCTTGCGAGAGCAAAGTCACTAGCTTGCTTGTGTGGGACTCGAATCAACAACCTCAGATCACTAGTTTCGAAGAGAGACCAGAAATGGTAAGCATGTATCGACGAAGACTTGGAACAGAAAAACAATTACACATTAGCACTGTATAGTCCATGCTGTTGCAGAGGTTGTAAAAAAAGAGTTCTTATTCTGTTTAGGTGGGACTCGAACCCACGACCTTCTTATTACTAGTTCCGAAGAGGGACCAGAAATGGGTCAAGGACTGATCAATGCTGGTAAGAGGAAAACAAACACAAATTTAATTTTCATAATTGAGTTTGCCGTTCACCATCGAAATTGTATAAAGTACTGTTAGCCATTTTTTTAATTGAAAAAGCTTGTGAGAGAAACGCCTTAAGCTTGGTTGAGTTGGACTCGAACCCACGACCTCCTGATTACTAATTATGAAGTGGGACCCGAAGAGGTTGAGCATGGACTGACAAACACTGATAACAGAACATAAAATATGTTCCAACACATAAGCACTCTATATAGTCAATGCTGTCGGAGATGTTGTGAGCAAAAACAACCTTCCGGCTTGGCTTTGGTGGGACTCGAACCCACGGTATGCCGATTACTATTAGTTCCACAGAGGAACCAAAAAGGGTAAGCTAGGACTTGCCAACGCTGGGAACAGATTTACAAATTAATAACACATTAGAGGTGTTTGTTCAATACTGTCAAAGAGGTTGTGAATACTGACAGATATCCCTTTTCAAAAACGCAAAAAATTAAAAATCGATAAGGCCAAAAAAAAAAAGGTTTCCGGTTTCTGGTATGCGCGCGCGTCGCCGTAGCCATGCGCGTCGGAAAAATGAAAGAAAGATGATGTCTCAAAACCGCCAAACTCACTGGTTTGACTGGAATCCTGCTGCTGCACAATTTTAACGTGTTTTTAGATTGGGTTATGGTCGAGAATAACCTTTATGTGGCCTCTCTGGACTCCCAATATATTTGCACTAAGTTTAGTCGGGCACAATTTGCAGTCATCAGCCGACATTTGAAGCAAAAAAATCAGGCACAAAAAAAAAAATAACGCGTCGCCGCACCACTTTTTGGGCAAGCTCCATACCAGAAACCGGAGACATTTTTTTTTTTGGCCTAAGGGCCGACAAACGATTCATTTAGCTTCACTGCATCACAAATGTCCCCAGAGAGGTCGTGAGAGAAAGACATTGGAGAGGTACTCGAACTCGCGACCACCTGCTTCTAAGATGTCTCTGCGTCGGTCATTGAGCTTGTCAAGGTCGGCTGGCCGGTTCAAATTTGATATGAACGTGTAGCAGCGGATACGACTATTAGTATACGAACAACTCCATGCGGAATGATACTACCAAAAACAACAACAAACTCAATGAGAAACGGATGTAGCACTGCATCATGGAATCATGTAAACGGTTGCATAACTTCGTTCCCCAATACCTTTGTTCCCCAATACCTTTGTTCCCCATTACCGACGTTCCCCAACCCTTACCCTAACCAAAATCATCTACCCTAACCATAACCATAACTCTAACCCTAATCCTAAGGATTTCCTGGGAATATCAGTATTGGGGAACATAGGTATTGCGGAACATCGGGTAAAGACCCCATGCAGGCCTAAACACATTCATGTCTTCTTCATTTAGGGAAGATGAGACTTGTATAGGTTTGCATGGTGGACATAGACAGAAAAGCATAGACGGATTGCGCTCACACCGTGGAATTTAATCTCTTTTGAGATGTGTGCTTCTGAGAAGAACCACTGAAGTTGTTTGTAACTGGACATTTTGAAAAGTGTGCTCTGTTCGTCATCAGGAGACGAACTCTTTTCACACGGGAAAGGTGTGTACAATGTGAAAGACTTGATATAGCCTACGGGCACAAAGAAGGGAACATTAATGGTAAAGAAAGTACGCTTTGCCACACATCAGCTGTTCGTCGAAAAAAAAACTAAGTAGTTAGTACATCAATTCCGGCTGGATTGATTCAGAGACGCGCTTAAAAAATGTGTGATGACACAAAACGCCTCACCCAGTACGGTCAAGCTCATTTATAGTTTTAAAAATTCTTCCCAAAAATGATGCCATGTTAGCAGAACACTAAACAATTCTAAATATTTGGGAAAATACATTTTTAGTTGACCTCATTCGAATCCATCTTTGTGTTACTACTCTTACAATAGAACAGTGGCGTCAGGCTAATTTTCTCCATCAGAAACCACAAAAGAATGCCGGACAAAATGTGCATAGCGGATGTATGGATCCCAATTCGCCTTTCGCGGTTAGGAGCTAGGGTGTCTTACTTTCCACCTTGGGAATTTGACGCAGACTGGGTAATTACTTCCTTCCTCCCCACCCCTCCGACTCCGCCTTCCCCTTCCTATAGCCCCCTTCCAAATCTCCCAACTACATGAACTACGATCGTCTAGAATGCCTCAGGGGACCAGCCAGCTTAAGGTATTAGGCTGATATTCGGTTCGGGACCAGCGAGCGCGCATGGGAAGCGAGGGCTTTCGCACGTCCTGCAGTCAGTCAGTTTCAATTATAGAAACAGGTGGACTCACAACATCAAGTGACAAGTCTGGTTAACACTCACCACTGAAGGGATAGGGCGGATGAAAATTTCTCCTCGGGCATGGAGTGGCTTTCATTTGTACGTTTTCGACAAAAGATTTACTGCCGTATAATTTAAGTAGATCACCCATGACAATTTAAGTAAGGAGATAGACCACCACTACCCGCAAGTGCATTGCAAGCCACCTTATTCACGTGTCGGCCATCATAATTGAAATCGACGAAAATTCTGGGAACTTGAGAGCAATGAAATAAAAGTTCATTACATTATTATCAGGAGTTCGAATCTAGCTGCTGGTCATATGTCGTGTCCTTTGCCTCTCTCCACCCAGGAGGATAAATGGGTAGCGGCATAAGCTTGGGAGTAACCTGCGATGAACTGGTATCCAATCCAGGGGCGATTTTATATATTCTCAGTCGTTTCATTCTCTTGAAACTGGAGATAAATGCCGGCCTGTTAGGCCACATTGTCTAGTGACAGACTACACTCTTACACAATATTACTGCAGAATAATTTAAAATTGGTGATTAACTATAGGTCTACCCGGATGTTTCAAGCCACATTTAAACTATAGAATGAAAGCACGAGGCTTGGAACGCACTGCGATGATACAATAGTCTGGCAATCCCATTCAGCAGTTAACATTCTATGAAATAGATTCAGGGAACACGATCGAAGATGGCTTCCTCATGAATAAGGGATATGTAGGCTATTTCAATCTTTCCATTCAAGCAGGTTTCATCGTCAAACAAAATAATAGGGCCTCAACCTCTCTGACGCTTTTCTTTGGATAGAAGACATCTTGAAATCAGCAAAATATCCACCACTTTGCCTGGAGCCCAAATCTCTGGTCTGTTGTACTTCAACAGCAAAGAACATCACATTCAATGCAAACATAGAATGTACTTGTTGTCGGTGCCTTCCTCATATCATCTGAAGTGTTTGGTTTTATTGTTGTCACAAAATTAATGGTCTGTGATGAAAGTACGTGCCTGGTACAATTCGTGGTTCTTGGTGGTATGAGAACATTGAATTGTCTGCCAGTTATTAGTAATAACCGGCAGACAATTCATGTTCTCATACCACTAAGAACCACGATTTCTACCCGGCACTTTCGTCACAGACCATTAATATTGTGACAGCAATAAAACCAAACGCTCCAGACGATAAACTATAAATCCTCGACTGACACATCCCTGAGCAGTAATAGAGCCGCTAAGAAAAAGAAGATAAATCTCCACCGCTTCCAAGGACCAACTGTTGATTAAAATTCAAAGGACTGGGCCGGTCGGGTATTTAACAAGCAATTCAATCCCAATGACTACATACTTCAAACTGCCGTTCTCAAAGAAATTGGATAGTTTGGGTCAAGAGCGACTTTTCCTCCTAACTGTCTGTAATTGTCAGTTCAGCTCTGGTGTTTCCGACTATTCCGCTCCTGATATTTGGTCGATGGGTTCTAATTCCGCAACGGCGCGGCGCGTAAACCTGTCGTCGTATTTCTCAGCTGAATTGAAGGAGGAATGTTTCTAGCATACTAGCTTTCTAATTACCTCCACTTTTTACCAGCAAACATTCCCCCGAACGTCATCGTAATAGTAGGCCCCTCTATTGCCAGATTAAACCAAAACAACCGTTTCATCTTCCATCGTGTGGCGTAATTTATTGCTGGGGGAATACTGGAGGAAATGCAACTCTCCAAAGCGTTCAGGATAAACACACAAAAAAGGCCCGACTATTCGTCATCTGCAACTAACCATTGACCATTTGCGATGATATTTTGGTACAACATTGCCACTAGTAGGGGGCGTCTCAATTTGTTGATCACTAAGTTATGGCTGTGAAAAGCCCTAACTGGACTTGGTTGTACAAAATACACAAAAATCTTCTGAAGGCTTTCGAAAGATCAAGGAAGACATAAATGGTCTTAGGAGGGCCATGAGTAATCGATCTCCGATGTTGCAATATTTATTCAGAACCAAATCTGGTGAATTTTGAAGGGTTTGGGAAGTTTAAGGCCAATCAATCTTCTGCCGTGTACAGGAAGTTCAACATTTTGAGCAATAACAAAACATGTTGTATTCCGTATAATTATCCTCAAGGTGGATTTTGATGGACTTGGTAAGGCTAAGATTACATTACTATTAACTTACGTCTACGAAACGAAAGTTTGCAAATTGATGATTTGAAATAAATAAAACATGACTTACTCGTAGAATGGTCCAGGTCTGCAGTCGCCCAGGCCCTCGGCCAAGCATAGGGTAAAATCGATCTCCTGATAGGCCTGGTAGATCTGGTTCAGTCCGAGCGAGAAGGCGAACCACACGATGATGAAGACCATGATGAACTTGGCGATGTCGAAGAGCATCCCGCCGAGGGAGATCTGCAGGGGTCCCACAAGCTGGCTGGAGACGGTCAGGATCAGGAGACGCAAGAAGGTGACCACGGTAGCGATGGCGAAGACAGCGTCGGCTACCAAGGCCGGGTGGAGCGGGTCAAACTCCAGCACGGGGTCCTGGGGCGGCGCCGGCGTCGCCGCCTCCTCCCCGCAGGTCAAGTTCTCAAGCAGGACGTCCAGCATCCGGTCCAACTCGGACCGGACCACCCCGTCCACGGCCACCTCCGTGTCCAGAATGGTGGCCGAGATATACTGCTTGATGTCCGCCAGCGAGATTAGTTCCGAGAGGTTGGCGGTTGCCGGGACGAAGGTCGGGGCAGTGGTGTCACCGGGTGTAGGCTGGCCAGGGGGCAGGGGCGGGGCGGAGCTGAGGCCGGGGAAGCTGGTGGTTGCTGCTCTGGCTGCGGCGTCTCTCTGAATCTGCGGTTAAAAAATAACAGTATTTGAAACAATTTCTGGACAAGATAACCCTGAACAAGATGATACAAAGATCAGTATATGGTCTTGTAAAGAACCAGATGTACAACTCTCCGACCTCCCAGAACCACATTTCTTTCTACAGAGCTAGTCATTTCATGTTGCTTATTCGGCAAGTTCCTCAAACTCTACTCTCCACTTTGCACGCAGACCAAAAAAAAAAAAATCATGTAAAACATGACGCCTGATGGGACTGTATTTCACCTGTTTTTACATCAATTTTGAAACACATTATGAAAATAACTGGCTTGAAACTAGAAAAGACTTGGCAAAACGTCCAGTTTTTAAAGTTGTTCTGGGGAAGACGTATAAGGCTACTGTACAGGTTGCACATATTTGAGATGTATATACTGGGGAACTAAAAAGAAAAACGTGCGAGAGTACTCCTGTTCATAACCTGGACCCGAGACAGGTCCCCAACAACCTACCTGGAAGTAACTGATGAGGGTGAGCACCATGTAACTCCAGAACAGGGCCAGGATGGCGAAGTCCAGTACATTGGCGCCGTCCTTCATGTAGCTGCTTACGCCCCCTTTCCAGATGGCCTTGATCTCCGCCCATGTCATACCTGGAAGTGTTTTGGAGATACTTGTTAATCTGAAAGACTGGATACTCGTCGTGGGGAAAAGTTGGTTTTGTCAGAAACTTTGGTCGTACGTCTCGGGGACGTTTGAGCCTCGATGTTGCGCTTTTTCCCATTATGGCAAATCGTTGGGCTCTTTGTGTGTGCCACACAACCCCTTTTTTCTCCCCTTTGTTTCCACATACTGGTCCACTCACTGTGCAGGCACATTAAAGCTTCACTTGAAGGCACATAGCTAGGATCATTTGCATTGGTCCTAAAAGGAATCTACCGAATTATGAACCAAAAAAAACTTACTTAGATTAATACTAACTCTCTAGGCAGTTTTCCTAGGATGCAACCTTATACCCAGCAAAACCCCCCAACTGTCCCCATGTAAAAATTGCATCCAGCCTCAATCCTGCAAAATCCTCCGTTTTACATAAAGAACTTCTAAGGATTTCGGAGGGTTTGCGAAATTCTCCATCTGTCTCCATGAAAAATTGCATCCAGCCTCAATCTTGCAAAATCCTCCGTTGTGCAAAGAGAACTTTTAAGGATTTCGGAGGGTTTTATCTTCCAACTGTCTCCATGAAAAATTGCATACAGCCTCAATCCTGCAAAATACTCCGTTTTGCAAAGAGAACTTTTAAGGATTTCGGAGGGTTTGCGAAATCCTCCAACTGTCTCCATGTAAAAAGTGCGTACAGCCTCAATCCTGCAAAATCCTCCGTTTTGCAAAGAGAACTTTTAAGGATTTCGGAGGGTTTGCGAAAATCCTCCAACTGTCTCCATGTAAAAAGTGCATCCAGCCTCAATCCTGCAAAATCCTCCGTTTTGCAAAGAGAACTTTTAAGGATTTCGGAGGGTTTGCGAAATCCTCCAACTGTCTCCATGAAAAATTGCATCCAGCCTCAATCCTGCAAAATCCTCCGTTTTGCAAAGAGAACTTTTAAGGATTTCGGAGGGTTTGCGAAATCCTCCAACTGTCTCCATGTAAAAAGTGCGTACAGCCTCAATCCTGCAAAATCCTCCGATTTGTAAAGAGAACTTTTAAGGATTTCGGAGGGTTTGCGAAAATCCTCCAACTGTCTCCATGTAAAAAGTGCATCCAGCCTCAATCCTGCAAAATCCTCCGTTTTGCAAAGAGAACTTTTAAGGATTTCGGAGGGTTAGCGAAATCCTCCAACTGTCTCCATGTAAAAATTGCATACAGCCTCAATCCTGCAAAATCCTCCGTATTGCAAAGAGAATTTTGGAGGATTTCGGAAGGTTAAGGTTAAAAATCGTATCGGTACTATACATCCCGTTAAATTATTCCGCTTGGCTTACTGTCGTTAAGAAAGAATTTCAAAATGTATATATGATATCTAACGACTAGTCAATTGACTAATTGTTGGAAACAAGTAGTAATATTAACTGTGTTTCGCGATCTAAAGGTTGTGTATGGTATCATCACTTGTTTTCCCGATCTGAAACTGCAACAGGTTAGGTTTGAACATTCTTCTTTGAATTTTGAGTGGTGTTATTATTGGAAACGACCTTTTTTATGTATGAAGTCCAAATGATCCTGCATTCGTTTAACACTCATTATCGGCAACACCAATGGTGTACCATGTAATTTCTGGAGAAGTGCTTTGAATAATGAAAAAACACAAGAAAATCAGGTTTTTGACACAAGTGACCCCATGATGACCTTCTGCCCCCTAGTTTGATCATGTGACATGTTGGGGCAGGGCTACTGATACTTTTGACACAGTTTGGTTGAAATCTGTCGAAATATGTAGGAGCAACGGACAATGTTAACGTCTATTACTAACTAACTCACTAACTATAACGGAGAGATATGATGATTTGTTGAGCTGCTATCCGGCAGCTAGCCTCATAAATGTGGCCAATTTACTGGACTACCTCCGTAAATAAAGGCCACACTTCCACCATGTACAAAACATGTCGAACTTTGTCAAATTTTGATTTTCACATTTAGGCTTAGTTTGTAGTTATTTTTTGTTTTAGAAGCATACTCACCCTCTTTACAGGCTCATCAGAAAGTGCTGCCTTTTTCAGATGTCTAATTTTCGTGAAATTTCATGTTGAAATTTTGATACGCAAACGTGTGCAAACGAATCTCGAAATTTCACGGAAAATAGACATCTGAAAAAGGCAGCACTTTCTGATTAGCCTGTAAAGAGGGTGAGTATGCTTCTAAAGCAAATATTGAACTACAAACTAAGCCTAAATGTGAAAAGCAAAATTTGACAAAGTTTGACATGTTTTTGTACTTGATGGAAGTGTGGCCTTTATTTACGGAGGTAGTCCAGTAAATTGGCCACATTTATGGGGCTATCCCGCAGCTAACAACCCAGACTTTGTCCACCAGCATTTCATAATCTTGTAGATAACCTTCAGCAATATTTTGAGCTCATCGTGCAGGTCAATGCTACCAATTTTGGATACTTAGTCCTGGGATACAGAAGTTTGTTGTTAAACCTTTAAATGGCCAATGTAATGTATTAATCTTAATGATATCCTTAAAAATACACCTTTGTGTCTCGTTTAAGCATATTTTCAACTTCGTTTTGCCATTTTGAAAGATAGTTTGATGCCTTTTGGGGTTTTTAATTGCTAATGAAACTGTCCATATGCTCTTCTGGGATACAGAAGTTGTACTTCTGGGATAGAGAAGTTGGTTGTCGAACTTTAAATGGCCCATGTACGAATGTAATGCAATTTGTTTAATGCAATCCTTGGAAATGCACCATTGTGTCTCATTTAACCTTCTTTTCAGTTCGTTTTGCCATTTTGAAGGGTATTTTGGTGCTTTTTTTGGTTTGTATGCTAATGCAAATTTCCATATTCCTGAGCAAAAATGTGATGTCTTCCAGGGCAGAAAGTTCAACGTTAAAGACATAAACAGCACAAAGAGTTGCTAAAATTTGGATGTTTCGCTGTCATAACTTTTTTCTTTGGTGATTCGTTGTAAGGATATGACAGTAAGCCAATGAGCAACCCTTTCTCACAAATGTTTTCAATTAGCAAATTTTTGGTTCACAAATTGAATAGAAAACCCCTAAACTGAGCAGTGTCTTCCTGAAATGACATCACAGCAACATCGCCCCGAGTTGTCCGGTGAGGCATGCTAAATACTAAATGTTTAAGTGTTTTTTTCAATAAAATTTTCCGAGAAGGCATGTCAAATAATGTTCATAGTACATTTAAGAGAAATAGAGAGTTGCGCAAAATGAGATCCTGAGAAAAGGTCATTGCATTGACCCTTTTAATAATGAAACGTGTTGTCACGTACAGCTTGTAATCTCGTACCGTTATATTTTTTTTTTCTATCTTATGCCGGTCACGTTACTTCAATAGGCATTTGTCCTTGTTAGGTATGACCTCCATTTTAATTAATTACATACTACACCACGAGTTTGGACAATTTTGAGCTATTAGTCTGCAGTATCTCGTGTTGATAAGTGAAGCAGTATAGGCGATCGTGCAACTGGCCGATCGTTGAATTCGTTATAAATAGAAATATCACCCTTGAGTGGAAGAGTCAAGATCGGTCACAGTTTCCCAGCCACAAGACAGATTACAAATTAATTGTTTTCCACGGAAACGCTCACATAAGCCACGGCCCTTGACGGCACCTGTTCTGCCGCGTGTTACGGTGACGCCTGACTGCGCTAATGGCAAAAGTGCTGGTCAACCAGGCCCCGCGTAATTCCGAAACGCCTATAGACACTGCGCTGGTTAAACACTTCATGTGACAGAACATAGTGGACTATTAATATTCGAGCTGCGGCCCACAATGCCGTGAACATCTCGAGCAATGACCCGTTTCGTTTGATATATAGGGCGTGGAATTTGTCCAAACGCTTGCCTTGAAGGGAAAGCATGTACAGATAATTGCATTGCTGACACTAAATTATTAACAAATTGTAAACTCACGATCATAAAAAAAAACACAATGGGAGTATCACTGAAGGACACATTAAAGCCCGGTGCATACTCCACGCGAATGCGAATGCGAAGCGAATTTGACGTCATGGCACGTTCGCTACGAAATTCGCCCGAGTTAAAATGTGTTCAACTTTTACGAATTCGCAGCGCGAATACTTGCCATGACGTCCCAAATTCACGTTCGCTTTCGCTTTCGCGCCGAGTATGAACCGGGATTAACGAGTGGGAAAATAACATTCGTGCGATAGAAAATACACGGAGGTTGATTCAGCAAAAATAAGGATAATTTCTAACCCTCCTGCTGTCTGAATAGTCTCAGACAGTCATAAAAAACAATCCTTTTCCCTGCTATGCCTTTCACAAAGCCTAGTCACCAACCGTCAGATCATACATGTATTTCAAGCAAGTACAATGGCACGTCAAATTCAGTCAACCGACATAAGCAAGTGGTAGGCACAGCTGTCTTATCAATCACCTACAGTCCAAGCATGTATCAAGCTTGTAACAAAAAAATAATCCTGTTTTATGTATAGGCAGGGAGCACGTAACCGTTATAGCAGTCTTTTGAATGATTTTGAAATTATAAAGGACAACTTTGAACAGAATGCATTTTTGCACAGGACGGGAGTTCCGATTCTTGTCTCGTTCTTCATCAAGACAAAGAGCAATCTAACTGCAGGTGGGACATAAAGAAAATGACTATATTGAAGACAACAAGACGATTCTAGCAGGGAGCGGAGCCTGAACACACAACTGCCGTAAAGAAGATCATAAAAGGTGTTTTAGGAGAGACACAATTAAAACGAATCGGCCACACTCCAAGCAGAATTAAATGGCTGTAACTGTTCATGTATCTTGATACAGCTATGCTATGCTTTGACTATAGGTGATACAACAGAACGTTATAGCGAATTCATGTTCCAAACAAAACTGACCTCACAGCATAAGCAATATTGCGTATTAATGACATTGGCTGGTAGGCCTTTTCCATTTTCGCTGATATACTATTTTCTAGGCTTAGCGATTTTTACAAAATAGGCCAGGGTCCACTTGACATCGGCAACTAATATCTCCTTGCTAAGGAGGTATATTCTACGCTAAGCAAATTTGTGCTCTTAAAATTAGGTCAACACACCATGTTCAGGTGATACAACAGATGGATATATTAATACATAATGTTGATGAATAATTCTAAATTAAGAATGACTCATTGTTTCACAGATATGACAGATATGCACAATATTTTGGATTGGCATCCATTTCATGAACCCCAAATAGCCTGGCACAATTGTATAAACACACGTGGATCATGTATAAACACACGTTTTGGGTTTGTTTTCATTCAATAGAACACGATATGAAATTGCAAGTCAGGTTTGTTTTATTTAATAGAACACGATATGAAATTCCAAGTCAGGTTTGTTTTCAATAAAGAGAGCACGATATGAAATTGCAAGTCAGGATAGTTTTGATGAAAGAGAACACGATATGAAATTGCAAGTCATGATGGGTGCATATTATGTGATGCAATCAAACTAAATGAGTCGTTTGTCGACCCTGGTTATTTTTTGTTTTACAGATTTGAAAAGAGCACAATCTCAGCATTATTGCAGTGAAAACTGCATGCTGATACCATCATTAGTTCAAAAAATTATGGAAGTCGGAACATTGAAGAGATGTGATGAAGTGATGCGATGAAGTGGCCCTGTTTTGGCCTGAATCTCGAAACGAAAATTCCCGACAAAGAGACTCATTTTAATAGCTTGATCGCATCACATATACACTTCTAAAAAGGTTACTTGCCTACAATCCAGAGCAAGATCAAGATGATGACCGTGAGTGGGACCTGACTGAACTGGTTGGGGTCACCTTGACCCGTGATGACCTCTTCAGTGGTCACGCTGGGTGGGACAATGGTCGTGATGAGGAGGAAGACGAGGAAGGTCATACGGGAGGCAATGTCCATCAGGAACTTGACGTACCTGTGACAAAAAGTAAAAGACGAAATTAAACCCAATGCGAAAACACGAAGGAGGGTTGTTAAAAAAAACTGAGATGTTGATTTCATGTTATTTGATTTCATTGAGAAGGTCCTCTTTGTTTGCGCTAATGAATTACCTCACTGTTTCGATACATCTTCCTGATTCTCAATTATCCTATTTTTGTTAGTGCTTTAAAATTCCTTTCAGGCCAAACTGAATATTGTTTGCAATATTCAAGATACAGTGTTGTACTTCAAGATGGATCTATATTACATTTAATATAATGCATCTTAAAGGGAATATACATCATTTGCTTTTGCTGTAATTTTCAGAAATGGATGGAATTGGGGGGTTGGAAATATATAGCAAATATAGTTACACTGACTTTTTTGAGGTTTGGGTTCAAAAATGCTATAAAAACCAAGAAAAACAATCATTTTCATGTAGTCTGGTTCCCTGACTCCATTTAAGAAGAAACAGAGCAGTTTACATACATTGGGGAATTGTAAGGTCAGGGAACCAGTCTAGCTGGCTTGTACCCGTTCATAGGTGTGTAATCGATTGCAAACAAGTGCGATGGTCAACTGGGGCCAGTATTTGAAAAAAAGCCAGTTTTTTCCAACGCTGATCGGCCGATCAGCGTTGGAAATTGATACAAAAATACCACTTTTCTTGAAAATGACAGTATACCAGGTGCCATGATTTTACAGGATGATTTACACTGTCATTCACTAACAGTCCAGCAAGGTATTTCAAAATGATTTGGTAGTTTTATTTTTTGATGTTTGCAAATGTTGTATTTTCCCTTTAATGGAAACCAAAAACAAAATACTACTAATAATATACTCGAAGCATATTGCTTGTTTAATAAATAATGAATCTAGATGAACTAACGCTGGGCGAGAAACCCGATTACTCGAGTACTCGCGAGTAGTTTATGCTATACTCTGGTTTTCATGTACATGAGTACTCGTCCTGGCGCGAGTAGAGTAGGCACTAGCGAGTAGCAAGTTCCTGCGGTTCCTGCGCCAAACTCGTCTTTTGTCTTGATCAATATCAAGTGGTTTGCAACTGGGAGCTTCCTTTTTTATTTCCAGTTCAACAAACTTTTAGGAAACCTGGACCACCTGACCGATGACCCTTGATGGGAAACTTTCTATTATTATGTTAACGTTACTACCTTTTCAGATTTTCAGAATTGAACGATATGGGGACAATCACTAAAATTCTGTGGAAAGAATTACCACCTCAGGAGGCATGTGGCTCTCAACTTGAATGTCCATGGGTCATAAGACCAGCCTTAATGGTAGGGTTATTTTGGTAGACAAGTGGGCGATCAAAAATACTTGAATAACTTTACAGGGGGGATTCAACGAGACTTACGGTGTGCTGACGAAGTCCATGACCTTGCCGCTGCCCAGGAAGATGTAGAGCAACGAGGTGAAGGGGTACATCAACATAATGACCAGGGACAGGAGTAACTGCTTGAAAAGAGACCAGTCCCTCATGAAAGACATCTTCCCGTAAAACCGCTTGATAAGTAGCTGCTGGCAGTGCGGATGAGCCACGAACTGGGGAGGAATAAAAAAATAAAAAAATAATATGGGTTCAAGTTCTTCAATTTGCTGACCAGAAATAGCATTGTTTGACAACTTCACAACTTCATTGTCAGACTCTCCTGAAGACGGTCAGATCATACTGACCGGTACACTCAGTTCATATCTCTGGTTCTTTTCAGAATCAGTCTCTTAGTTTGAGGAATTATTCCCACATGGTGTTTCCGCAAACCTGTCATTCATTAGTACATGTATATTCACCTTGCAAAGCCTCAAATCTAATTGAACTTCATTGTGGTAAGCAAAACGTTTCCGTTCGTGTTACTACATGTGTATCCAGCTTACGCAATCTACTCGATAAAATTTACCTCCGTTTCGTGTGGATTTTCTCGAACCAAAATAGAGCCAAAAAACGAAGAAGTAGAAATGGAGGCTAACTTTTGACTTATATTCATTTGTTTTGCAGTTACGCTTAAAAGATTCGCATCACAACTTTCCATTCAGAGATGCTTCTCGGATAGACCTTAAAATTGTAATGAAGGTACATGTTACGCGGCATGGTTGGTAATCTTTGAATGAATAAATGTACTTGTCATTTTAATTTCCTTATGCCGAAAAAAGCGAGCATGTTCGTGTTCAAAACAATGTGCTCTTAAATCAGACAAGATTTGAAATTTGTCTAGAGATCATGTCATTTCAAATAACCTTAACCGATTCAAATTAATTCCGGTCAACGAACACATTGGCCTAATTTGAGATATAGAAAGGCAAGGCAATTCTAACTTTGTTGCAAAATGCAAAGGCATTGTGGCATACTCAAAATGCCTCTGCCTCAAAAATTCGAAGCCAATTACGACACCAAATACAGTACTGTTGCCCATAAAAAATAATACCACTGCGTGTTTAGCCAGCTAAAATTACATGCGTACAATTCGATAAACGAATAGGTTTTCACGGAACAAGCTCAAAACATAGCACATATCTAACCCCTTAATAGTTCCCCATGACTATCCTGCTAAAATCCAACACAATCCCACACAACCCAACTTGCCAAGTTGTTGAATACCTGAAATTATAAAATGACTGGCATGCTCAATCCAACAAAATCCAATTGTGCCTTATTTTCGCTGGTGTTTGCTGCTGGGTCCAACGGAGTTGAACCTCGTGTTTATATTTACCAGTAACCAACAGAATCCGGCTCTGAATGTTTTCAGTCGCCTGCTGAATCCAACAGATTTCAACAGAATATGAAACTGTTCAATCCAACAGGATCCAACGGAAATGCAATATAGTTGGATCCTGTTGGATTGAGCAGGATTAGGGTCCTAGTTAGGCCAAATTCGAATACAAACAACCAGCTTTACTTGGAAAACATAATTCGATTATTTGGGTTAAAGAATTACTAGAATTAATTCGGTAGGGTGATGATCACCTTGATCTTTACTTAGGAAGATGATTACACCCTGCAAAACTGAAAACATACTGGTACTGGCTGTTTTTTTTTTTTTTTTTTAGAGCTGTTTATATTGATACAGAAATTCACAAAACAGGTGTTGTTTAATTTTTGAGTGTACCCTTACTGGAGTTTGCCATTTTTTTATGAGCTTAAATTAATAAACAAAGTATGGGTTTACAAACAAAGCAACTGAATATGTATTTATACAACAGGGTAAAAAAAAAACAGGTCAACAACGCCAGCACTTTTGATGACCCTGATTTTTTTTTTTAGAGCTGTTTATATTGATACAGAAATTCACAAAACAGGTGTTGTTTAATTTTTGAGTGTACCCTTACTGGAGTTTGCCATATTTTTATGAGCTTAAATTAATAAACAAAGTATGGGTTTACAAACAAAGCAACTGAATATGTATTTATACAACAGGGTAAAAAAAAAAAACAGGTCAACAACGCCAGCACTTTTGATGACCCAGATTTTCCAGCCCGTGAGAGTGATACAAATGCGAATGTATCTCTTCAACAACGCTGCACTTGTTCATTTAGTGTGGTTCACAGAACAAAAAGGTTTTCCCTGTCATTTTGTTTAAATTTTGCGCTTTGTGAGTGATGCTTACACCAGTGAACATTATTCAACTGACATCTTCTCCAGCCTTTGCTGGTCTCAGATTTCATAACTTGAAAAAGCATCTTCACATTCGTCCGTTCCACAATCAATTCTGTTCCTCCAGCATTATCGTAGAGAGTCATACCTCGCTGAACTTGGCTGACCTCAAACGCAAAGTCCTGGTCCCCTATGTAACTCAATAATTAATATTCTAAACCTTAACTCCGCCGTTCGCTTTCTTAGAAAAAAATAAGACAGCAGTAGCCTAACAATCTAATGCGGGTGACCGCTTGTTCGCCAGATAATCATCAAAAGGTCGTAGGGCTGGCGCCGGTAATTACAGCACATGGGCTTCAGCAACGAGTCAGGGCCAAAACAGAATTCCCAACGGTTGCAAAGGGATACCCAGTGTTGCACCAATCAATTATGAACAGATCCCTTGCGTATAACAAGTGACACTTCATCATAACATGATAGTGTAGAAGAAGTAGTGAGCTTCCTTGCTTCAAGCGTAAGCTAATTCCGTTTTCATGTAATATACTTGCCATAAGTGAACCAGTGCGTGTAGTGGTCCGGTATCCTAACTTGGGATGCCGTTTAAGGTTATCACAGTCTGTTCACCTTTACAAGCCTCTAATACATCCAAGGACATGGATATTGAAATTACATCAGGAGACATCTTTGTGTAAAACCTATTTATGTAAACAGTGAATAACAGGGTCTCCTGAAAGATGGCATTTATTGTTTGTTCAGACTGTTTTGAACCAGAAAGAAAATGACACAGAATGCTTGTTTCAGCAACTGTCAACAACTGTTGTACACAATATCTGCTGTTCAAAAGATCACAAAATGGTCAACGTTTTCTTCCACTTCCCCTGGTATACGTTTAACACACCAATGGTCACTTGACCAATACTGACCCAAGTAACAGCATGGCTCAGAATGCATGTTTTCATAAGAGGGTTAACAAGCCTGCTTAGGCAAACACTATAACTTATAAAAAAAAAATTAAAAAAAAATAAAAATTCTTCAAAAGATGGGCCTTCAAAAGGACTTTGTTGAATATATTTGCGTTTTAAACTGAAGTTTTGTCGCTGGTGATGTTTGAAGACAATGACAAATGTTTTTCATCTAAAAGTACTTTATGAAATTTGTTTTCCAGTCATTATTATTTTGGTGCCACATATTTGTTTAAATATGAAACATATCTTTTGAGGTTTGGGTTCTACTTGTTTTGAATCGGCCTGTATATTATGCGACCTTGACATCTGAGTGGACGTGATAATCAGAGGTACCACCAATCATGCCAATAATCCAAACAAGTTCGACTTATACGTCAACACGCCTGATTGAGTTGCACTGAAATTAACGTAAATTGACCAGCAGAAAGGCACGCCTCTGCTTCCATAGGCCAATTGTTATTTGTTCTTGGGGGAAAAAAGAAGTAGGTCAAATATGGATACATGTATTTTTTTATTTAAAGAAATAGACGCAACGGCTCATCACAAACAATGAGGTATCACACATGGTTGTTTCAACCACATGCGATTCACTACGTTTAATGCAAGGGCGGATCCAAGGGGTCCCCCCCCCCCCTGACCAATGTTAATAACGGGGGAAATTTAAAGTTCATAAGTTAATATACGATATTTGCTTTACCTGTAAGTTTCACAAATGGTTGGATTTAGAGGTTAGTATTTTAAAGCAAATATTGTTACACTGACCTATTTAAAGTGTTGTGTTCATAGATGCTGGAAAAAAACCATAGAAACAAAATGCTGTTCTTGTAGTCTGGTTCCCTGACGCTACTTCAGAGGAAACAGAGCAATGGTTAAGTGTCGGTGGAATTGTCAGGTCCGGGAACCAGACAAGCTGGCTTACACCCACCCGTTCATGGAAGTGTAACCGAATGCAAACAACTTGTGGACTAATTACTTATTTTGGTAAATTTGAGACAGTATTTGAAAACAGTCGGGTTTTTTCTCAACAATGGTAGGCTGACCATTGTAGGAAATTGATACAAAAAGTCAACTTTTTTTTAGAATGACAGCACACCAAGTGCCATGATTTCACAGGATGCTTGAGTCTATTATTCACTTATTGTCAAGGGAGGTTATTGATAATATTTTGGTAGTTTTGTTTTTAATGTTTGCAAATGTTGTAAATCCCGTCAAAGCCTCGAATAACGTCGTAACTGAATATTGCTAATCGGGATTCATGGCTTCAGGCCGTTGGCCTGCTATGCGTTGATTGTTAACATCTCATCCCCTGGAGAAGTACATGTATTTGGTTTTAACACCCCTGGCATTTTTGTTTATGCGGACATTGCTTGGTGTGGTTTTTTTGTAGCTGTGGAGTTTTTCGATGTGTTCTTTTAAAAGTTATAATCGAGGTTGTTCCTAGCAGCTTATATTTACACTGTAATAATGATTGGAACCAATATACAAATATTAAGTGCATCACCGTGGAATGGGAGGAATATTATTGCAAGGTAAAATCTGGAATTTTTCCATTTCACGAGGCGAAGCCGAGTAAACAGGAAAAGTCCAGATTTTACCGAGCGAAAATATCCCTCCCATTTCATAATTTAAAGCCACTCAATATTTGTTTTATATAACTGATTTTAAAGGAGTCAACACAGCATGTGACACTTGAAAAGTGTTCAAGACCAGCCAGCCTGTCTTTATCAACCGTTTAAAACCGGCCACGTGACGGACTCTCGACCTATAGAAATAGGTAAACTGTCTGAGGTATTTAAGGATATGGTTTGATCATAAACTGGGAAGCTTTCCACTTATATTGTGATTTCATTCCTCTGGTCGATCATCACTAAGATCAATTGATTTAAACATGGTCCTTGAAAACCCTCTTGCGACATTTTGGGGTAAAACATCTTCAGCATTTCCTGACACAAAGACAAGTACCGGTAGGTATAAAACACATTTAACTGAAG